AAGGCCCGAGACATCTTGCTAAAGGACCACCGAACATTTTTCGATACAAATGCCTTGATTTAATAGGTATTGAGCAGCCTTTTGATGGAGTGCCTGAGCCTTCTTCTTATCTTCAGGCAATATTCCATACTGCAAAAATATGACAATCTCGTTTCTCCAATCCCAAGTTAGATTATTGTAATTTACCTCGTTTTTATCTTGATCAAGTACTGAATGAAACAAATGAATCACGGAAGCATTTTCTTCATTGGTTACTTCTGCAGCGGATGCAAGATTAGCTAGAGCGTCCGCCTCGGCATTCTCTTCCCTTGGTATCTGCGTGACTTTCCAAGTCTGGAATTGTCTAATTAAATCCCGTGCCTTTTCCAGGTACTACTGCATCCTTTCCTCTCTAGCTGTGTAAGTCCCCTGTATTTGATTAACTACGATCTGCGAATCGCTTTTGATTATGACCTGCTCTATTCCGAGCTCTCGTGCCAATTCTAAACCTGCAATCATAGCTTCATATTCTGCCTCATTATTAGTGATAGGATGACATTTTATGGCCTGTCATATGGTTTCACTCGCAGGTGGTACCAGGACAATTCCTAGACCTGCTCATTTTACATTTGATGAACCGTCAGTAAATAAGGTCCAAGTACCTGGATTAGACCCGTTAAATACCTGCAGTTCTTTTTCTACTTCCAATTGTATCCCTTGACTAAAATCTGCCAAAACTTGTGACTTTATTCCAGTTCTAGGTTGATATGTAATGTCATATTTGCTTAGCTCTATAGTCCATTTGGCTAATCTACCCGATAACTCTTGTTTATGCAATATAGTACGTAAGGGATAGGCGGTTACCATAGAGATAGGATGACATTGGAAATAAGGCCTTAATTTCCTAGATGCCATAATTAATGCTAGCGCAAGTTTTTCTAAATGAGGATATCGAGTTTCAGTATCTAATAAAGACTTGCTAACATAATAAATCGGAGATTGTTTACCTTGATCCTCTCGTACTAATACAGCACTTACCGCAACTTCTGAAACATCAAGGTAGATAAGTAATTTCTCCCAATCTTTTGGTTTGGCTAGCAATGGTGGATTTAACAGGTACGCTTTTAACTTTTTAAGCGCTTGTTGACATTCTTCAGACCATTCAAATTGATTTTGCTTCTTTTAGGCTGAAAAGAATTTGAAGCACTTTTCCGACGACATGGAAATAAATCTTCCCAAGGCTGTTATTCTTCCTGTCAGCCTTTGTACTTCCTTTTTGCTTGTGAGTATATCCGGAAGTTTCTCAATTGCTTTAATCTGCGTGGGATTTACTTCAATGCCACGGTTAGAAACAAGAAAACCCAAGAACTTACCTGATGACACGCCAAATGCACATTTCTCAGGATTTAACTTCATGTTAAATTTGTGAAGAATCTGGAATGTGTCAGTCAATGTTGAATATGATCCCCTGTTTGTTATGATTTGACCAGCATATCATCTATATACACCTCCATGGTTTTTCCTAGGTGTTCTTGAAACATTTTAGTCACTAGCCTTTGGTATGTTGCCCCAGCATTCTTTAAGCCGAACGGCATAACTTTGTAACAGTAAGTCCCCCTGTCTGTGATAAAGGAAGTTTTCTCTTCATCTAGAGGATCCATTTTAATCTGATTATATCCTGAATAAGCATCTAAAAAACTTAATAATTCATGCCCTGCAGTAGCATCAATTAGTTGATCTATGTGCGGTAATGGAAAAGAATCTTTAAGGCAAGCTTTATTTAGGTCAGTATAATCTACGCAAAATCGCCACTTACCATTCTTTTTTGGTACTACAACAGTATTAGCCAACCAATTTGGATACTTTACCTCGCGGATGGACCCGATTTTTAAAAGTTTCTGCACCTCATCTTGAATCACCTGATTCTTGAAGGATCCTTGCTTCCTTTTCTTTTGTTTGACAGGTGGGTACGATGGATCTTCATTTAATTTATGAGTCATTACCTCCGGGGGTATATCTGTCATATCTGAGTGGGACCAAGCAAAACAATCTGCGTTAGCTTTTAAAAATTCGATCAACTTACATTCCATCTCTGGGCTAAGGTTGGTTCCAATGTAGACTTTTCTGTCTGCCCAGTGTACAAATAGTACCACAGCTTCCAATTCCTCGATCGTTGTTTTGATATTTTCATTTTCTTATGGTTCTTGAATAGTATCAGACCACGAATCTACATCTGTTTGCCCGTCTTCAGTTGAGGCTCATGTTGCTGAATCCTCAACCGAATTCTATGATTGCTATTTTTCGTCACATTTTATGCTTGAATCTACCACAGAGTTAATGCTTCAAGAAGCCTGTTGGTCACCACAGATTTGTCGTATTCCCCATTGTGATGGAAACTTGATAACTTGATGTAAAGTAGATGGGACAACGTCCATTTTGTGAATCCATGATCTGCCGAGAATCATATTGTAAGCCATATCCATTTCCACCACTTGAAATCTGGTATCTTTGATAACTCCTTCAGCGAATGTGGTGAGTATTATTTCCCCTTTTGTTACAATGCTCGAGTTATCAAAACCAGACAAGGTATGTACCTTAGGTATCAACTTATCATTGGCTTGCATCTCGTTTACCACTCTTAATAGAATGATATTTACGGAATTACCTGGGTCAATCAAAACTCGTTTTATATTAGTGTCATGTACAAGTAAAAATATTACCAGTGCATCATTATGCGGGGTTAGCACGCCATCTGCATCTGTAGCATCAAATGTGATACTATCTTTTTCCAAAACCTGTCGAACTTGCTTCTCGTGGGTAACTGTAATTTTTGACACTTTCTTTGTTGCCGTGTATGTTACGCCATTGATCTCTTCCCCTCCACTTATGACATTAACCATCCTTTTTGGTGAAGGAGGCTCTGGTGATTCTTGCCTATTCTTTGTATATGCTTGTTTTCCCTTTTCACTATACAATTCAGTTAAATACCCTTGTTTTAATAAATGTTCTACTTCACCTTGTAATAATTTGCAATCCGTCATTTTATGACCATGATCGTTGTGAAACTCACACAAAAAATCGGGATTTCGCATGTTTGGGTTTGATCTCATTTCTTTTAGCCTCCATACCTTATCTCCCATGCTTCTTAAAACAGCCACCAATTCGGATGTGCTAACATTAAAACTGTAGCCTCCGATCTTTGCTTTCGAGCTTCCATCGTCATCTCGCATGTTACGTTCTTTCCCGAACCTTGATGATGAACCTGAGTCTCTATCTCTTGATCTAGGATCATACCTTGGATTTTCCCGTATTGAACGCGAATCCCTTCCTGCCGGTCCCATGTAAGGCTCGAACCTGTTCTTACCGGACCTTTTTTCAGTTTCAGCTCGTCTTGAACTCACCCTTTCATTTTTCCGAGACTGAATGATAGTATCTTCCTCTATCCGCAGCTTCGTGTTGTACCTATTATAAAAATCATTCCAAGTTGTTGCTGGAAATTCTCGCAAACTTTCTTTTAGTCTCCTCGTGGCTTCCAAGCTTTTCTCATTTAGATTACTGGCAAAGGCCATAGCCGCCCAGTTATCAGGTACACGTGGCAACATCATCCTTTCACGCTGGAATCTGTCTACGAATTCCCCGAGCAACTTTGTATCTCCTTGTTTTATTTTGAAAATGTCCTCCATTCGTTTTTCAACTTTTTAGCTCCCGAGTGTGCTTTGATAAATGAATCTGCAAGCTCAGCAAAAGATAAATAGAATTTTCAGGTAAAAGAGAGTACCCTCTTTTTTTTTAACTTTTTTCAAAGGGTCAATGAAGGCCTTCCTTATAAGTTCTCGCTCGATCGAAAGGATATAACACATACGAAACCTTAGCTTCGCTGACTTTATGAGGTCTAACCTTCGCCACGACATTAGTGGCTTAGCTCTTCGCGCTTCCCGCAGGCTTTTT